AACTAGGAATTTGAGGGATTGGGAATTTTGGGGATTTGGGAATTTGAAGATTTGGAAATTTAGGGATATGAAAAATTAGGAGTTTCAAATTTGAGGAGTTGCAAAATTGAAATTTCAGAATTGCAAGTTTGATGATATAGAGTTTGAGAATTAAGGATGTAAAGCTTTTGAAGTGTGAGAACTTGAGGATTTAAGGAATTAAACATATTAAAATTTGGGAATTTGAGAACTTGAAAATTTTAGGACCTTAAGGACCTTGAAATTATGAACCTTGATAATACAAAAGATTAAAAATTTAATCATTTATAAACTTGCAAAAGTAATTTACCAGATGCTCCTAAAACTAGCAGATACAGAAATTAGTCAGACCAAAGCTTCGAAAAATAGAAAATATAAGATAAGTAAATTTGTAAGTTCAGAAACTTCCTACCACCTTTTCTAATCTCCCTGGAATTTCCCCTGTAATAACATTCATAATTGCCTATTGATCGTTGACAATAGCCTCTATTTTCCAGCTAATGGAAAAATGATGAGGACTCGATAAGAATGTTTGGATACGAAGTAGTTTCCGAGAAAGGAGTGTCAGGTTGGAAATTACTGGATTAATCAAATGATTCACGAATGGTATCGGTGATTATTGGAGAACGATATCTGGATCGATAGATTTATGTACTCGGCACGGATTTATTGCGTTGTATCAAACAAAGGATTTACAACGGCAGTTTGTCACCGTTCTGTGTACGGAACTGGTGGCTGCTATCGGTTTTTATCTGGTTAAAAATTCAGGTTAGAAGGAAATATGGTAGCTCGATAACGCTGGTTGTTCGATTAAAGGAATCAAATCGAAGATTTCAAACTTTCTTCGGCAGCTAATAACATTATCGATATTTCAAATATTAATACTTTCATTTTAGTGAAATTGATTGAGTAATTTTTATTTTTGTCTTTTTAATACATACGTGGTATTTTTGTAATATTTTTACTTTTTCCTGAAACATTCCAAGTTGACTTCAAAATAATTAAACTAACTGGAAATCATTTTTTTATCATAGGAATGAGTGTAAAGAACAAAGCTATATTTTATATAAAAAAAAGAGCTAAATTAATGTTCCTTAAATATTTAATTACAGCGAAATGCAAAATTGCATCGTGAAAACCTACAAAGTACACGCAACTTTAAGTAAAAATTGATGAAAGAAATTGACAGTAAAAATTCTTCGTCGAGTTTCGAAACATTTGAAGTTTCTAGCTGGGCGATTTCGAAGCAGGAAATCGTGTTTCGAGGAGTTCGTCAACAAGGAAGACTCGCGATTGTCAAACGTAATCGTAAAAACGACAAGTTACGTTGCATCTAAGAGTAATATACGGTGTTTACGTAATCGGCACGAGATTGCTCTTATATCATTCTATCGCGTGCGGCACCGGAACGAATAATAAAAATACTCTCGCGAGCTCGTTACGACGAATAGCGCGATTCCCTGGGATAAAAATCCATCTTTCTTATTTGAACGATAATAAATATCAACACTGCACATATATCTCTTTGCTTTGTCATTCTGCTACATAGTATTTCGTTGGTTACATACATTTTTGCAATATTGTGCATTTGAAGCAAAGGGTTGATTTAAGAGGAAATTAAATTGCTATAAAAATCAATGGGAATTTAAATTGTTCTAAAAATCAATGGCAATTTAAATTGTTCTAAAAATCAATTGCAATTTAAATTGTTCTAAAAATCAATGGGAACTTAAATTGTTCTAAAAATAAATTGCAATTTAAATTGTTCTAAAAATTAATGGCAATTTAAATTGTTCTAAAAATCAATGGCAATTTAACTTGTTTTAAATTAAATTTGATAGAAAATTAGATGGTATGTACGAGATTTATGAATTTATTTTAGGGAACGTAATGAATTTGTTTGGACATGCGCCGCCATCTTGGTTACCGGTGAAAATTCTTCGTGATAGAATTGTTCTAAAAATTAACAGAGTTGAATTTAAATTGTTACACATTCTTTAAATTCAACAGAAAATTGTTACACGTGGAATTATTATACAAGTTTTAGTTCTTATGAATTTATTTTACGAAATATGAATTAAAATTGTTTCGATGTGGCCGCCATCTTGGTTATCGATGAAAATTCTCGCCAAAAGAAATTCATTAAATCTTTCATAAAAAGCTAACCTAACCTAACCAATAAGGTTAGCCAATAATAAATGTAATAAATAGCCAATAATAAATTTCACAATAAAATAACAAAGCATTTAATAAAACTTAACGTAATTCGAAATATAGTAATACTTAAAAAGAGAACAAGAGGAGAATTGCAGTGTTAAGGTATTTTTAGAAGGTAGACATAAATGAAAACAGATATTGGACCATTTCAAATTACCCGTTAATTTATATCGACTCGAAAACAGTGTCGTAATCGGAACGTAACCACGGTCTCGTTTTTAACATTTGCGAAACGCGATTCAAGGATCCGGTCGAAGGCGTTTCCGTTTACGAAGCAGTTTTGCATGATGGCCAATTTTAGAGGCAGCGTTCAAGGACTTCCTGCACATCCACTGATATGGAAAGATAGGGTCACAGATACTGAGGAGGTTTGAAATTACTGAAATTGTTCCGTTTAAGACAATTATCGTCTGATTTGGAGGAACTGTCAGTTAGCGTCGTTTCGCGGTCGACAGTAAAAGATTCTCTTGCATTCTTTCTGTTCAAATCCGTTGTCTTAAAAATTGACGACGTTAATTAGAATCGTTGGAGCTTTTAGAAAACACTTTGTTATTATTAAATATTCTGTACGATGATAATCGTGGATTTCACTCTGTAAATATGTAGAAGTGAATAGGAAAGTCAATGAAAGAAATTATGGAAAATTAGAGCTCTTATGAAAATTAATTTAGTTTTCAAGAGAAAGTCAAGTTCATAGATTTATGAACAGATAGATCTCTTATAAATAATCTGAAAATTTTTACGAACGTGAAATGCTAGTAATAGTACTCTGGAAATACTAAAAAACTGAGTCTATGATTAAATAACGTGACAGTCAATGAGTGTCCGAACGCCTCATTATCCTCCTATCACATTTTCCAACGTATCATCAACGTCGCAAAGAATTTTACAATTTTTCTCAATCTCCATCAAAAGCACACAGAACATTTTATAATCAAACGCACTCGATATAATGCAATTTCAGCACAGCTGCCCCTAACGCATTTCGCAAATAAATTAAACTAATTTATTCCCGTTGTTGCCGAGATAATAGAACAGAGAGAAGGAAACTGAATTATGTTCGCGATCAATTTACCTTCCCATGATCGTTTCGAGCGTTCGATTAATTGTTGCATAATGAGAGGTAGTCGAATTCGAACGATTAAACGAGGAACTATAGCGACGAGCAAATTAACGGTGTAACGGGAACAGATGGGTCAGTTCTAGACACGAGTTTCAATTTGATCGAGGAGGCTGTAATAATCTGTACACACGTTCCATATTAAAAAACAAACCATCGACTACATTGTTTGCTCGACCATTATCACGGTCCTTGATTATTATGTAATGTATCAATAAATACGAAGAGAGAGGAAAATATGTAGACACACGGATCATCGGCGTAAACTTCCATCGATTAACTGATAAGTTTTCTCACGTTTTATAAGAATTTTCTGATTTTTAGATTTTCAGGTTTTTAGGTTTGCAGATTTTTAGATTTTTAGGTTTGTGGATTTTTAGATTTTTAAGTTTGTGGATTTTTAGAATTTAGATTTTTAGGTTAGTAGATTTTTAGATTTGGTGATTTTTAAGTTTGTGGATTTTTAGAATTTAGATTTTTAGATTAGTAGATTTTTAGATTTGGTGATTTTTAGGTTTGTGGATTTTTAGGTTTTTAGATTTTTAGGTGAGTAGATTTTTAGATTTGGTGATTTGTAGATTTTTAGATTGTTAGGTTTCCAGATTCGTTGATTTGTAGATTTTTAGATTGTTAGGTTTGCAGATTTGTTGATTTGTAGATTTCTAGATTGTTAGGTTTGCAGATTTGTAGATTTTTAGATTTTTAGATTTGTAGATTTGTAGATTTGTAGATTTTCAGGTCTTTAGATTTTCAGATTTGCAGGTTTTTAGATTTGTAGCCCTTTCCAAATCTTCAAATCCGATGAAGTTGACAAATACCCAGAAACGTTATATATCGAACCCTGATATTTCACAGAAAAAAAGCTCTTCGACAGCAATCTCTTTGGTCGCAAAAATTGGAAACACGTATCAAATCGGATCGTACAGAGTCGTATCCGTATGCGTTCGAGTATCGATTAGCCTCGTTTCATCAGCGGCGCACAGTGGAAGATCGCAGAAAATAAAGCACCGTGGAGAAACGATAACGAGCGAACTATCCGAAGTACAAATTTTCCGCGTTCACGGTTCCTGCGTGAATGGCCGGTCACGTTTCAGTCGAGCAGGCGATCCTTCTTTACCCACATAGCGTCCCAGCCGCTAAGAACGAGAACAATGAATGCTCTGAATAGATTACAGACGTAACAATAACGATACAACAGTTCACGATAGTCCTCCGTCGGCATGGAATAATTTGCAGCCGTAATGATAACGCCGTCGAAAAATAATTGTGGACAAGATTAATCGTCATTTTTCTGTTTCGAGGGGGTTCGAGTCTTTTTATCGTTGTGTATGGCTGTGGACGTCTGTGCAGATGTCTCTTTTTAGCTTCATTGATACGTTACGTACTTATTGAATGATAATGGAGAGGTATCGATAGTTGAGGAATTTGAAATTTTTAAGTTTTGGATAATTGGAGAATTTGGAAATCAGAGTTGGGGTGTGGGATTTGAGGAGTTTGGGATATGGGGTCTAAGAAGTTGAGGCAGATTATGACTGTCAAAAATGCTCTAGTACTCATACACGATTTTCGTGCTACTCCGTTCCCTAAATAAATAAGTCCCAAAAATATACAGAATTAAATCACATAAAGGTTCTTTTGATTTCAGCCAACCTATGTACCGTATCAGCCGGAGCCATGATGGGCTGGTCCAGCCCAGCGCTGTCGAAGCTGCAGAACGAGATAGAGGACAATCCGCTCCATAGAAAGATTACTGACGATGAAAACACTTGGATCGGTTCGTTGCTGTCGATCGGAGCGATGATTGGTCCCTTCGTTGCTGGATACTTGGCCGAAAGGTAACTTGCTTATAATACACTCATACACTTCCTTATAGACGTACATGCTTACACCAATAAGCGTATATTTTGATATACACTGTATATTTAATATAAGTGTATGGATACAAGTGTATCCCTGTAAGCAATGTACATCTTGAAATATACTCTGTATCTTAATATACATGGGCCAATGATCATAGCAGTCAAGGTCCTTATAAAATCAATCAATCAATCTTGATATACACTGTATATTTAACCCCTTGCACTACGGCTTATTTGTCAGGTGCGTCAGTCAGAACTGACTAATTAGAGGTACAATATTAATACAGACAAAAAGATGTGAAATGTTATATCAATATGTTATTATGCAATCGTTGACTATGCAAATTATAATTGGACTTGAACTTCAAATTGAAGCGTATTAAAAATTCGAGTAAAATTGATCACGACCGAAGTGCGAGTGCGTCTGACCCGTGAAAATAGTGGGGCTAATATAAGTGTAAACCTCCCCTAAACTGACACCCTAACAAAAATATTAATTTGCCACAGATACGGCAGAAAGCGAACACTGCTGATCTCCGTGGCGCCATTTCTGGTCGGTTGGATCCTGATAGCCTCAGCCACGGTAGTCGTGCAGCTGTACGTAGCTCGAGTGGTACTCGGTTTCGCTTTAGGATTCGCGTTCACGTGCGTTCCCATGTACTGCGGTGAAATAGCCGAGGTAAAACACCGTTAAACTGCATATCGTGCACCTCTCCGCGAAACATTTTAAAGAAACGATCGATCGTTATTTTTATGTGAACAGACATCCGTTAGAGGAGCACTAGGATCCTTCCTGCAGTTGTTCTGTACTATTGGTCTGTTGTATGCGTACTCTATCGGACCATACGTATCCTACCACGTATTCTGGATCACCTGCGCCATTCTGCCTATCGTGTTCTTCGTATGCTTCTTCTGGATGCCCGAGTCACCTATGTATCTGCTGAAGGTTGGACACAGGGAAGAAGCGATCAAGGCTTTGGCGAGACTTAGAGGAAAATCTGGGGCTAGTGTGCAGAAGGAAGCTGATGAAATGCAGGTGAGTGCTGTTGTATGGTTTTTTTAGAGATCATTTATATGTGGTATGACTTTATAAGTACGTGTATGATGATCATGATATATGTACATGTTGTGAGACTTTGTTATATACGTAGTAAGACTTTGATATATATACACGTAGTCAAACTTTGATGTATGTACACTTTGATATATGTACACGTAGGATAACTTTGATACATGTATCCAGCTGATCCAGCTTCACAGATATCTCGAGCTAACTTCCCAAATTCTATGTAACCAAATTTGCAAATTGATCTGAACCTATATCCCGAATTCCTAAATTACCAAATCCCAAACCTTAGAATCCTAAAACTTCCAAATTCCCTAATGATCAAATATTCAGCTCTTTCAATTATGAAATCCTGTATCTCCAATTCTCAAATTTCCAAATCTCCAAATCCTAGAATTCTATAAATTCCTAAATTCTCCAATCTCCAAGTACTCAAACTCTCAGCTCCCTAACCTCCTAAATCCTATATCTCCAATTCCCAAATTTCCAAATCTCCAAATCCTAGAATTCTATAAATTCCCAAATTCTCCAATCTCCAAGTACTCAAACTCTCAGCTCCCTAACCTCCTAAATCCTATATTTCCAATTCTCAAATTTCCAAATCTCCAAATCCTAGAATTCTATAAATTCCCAAATTCCCCAACTCCAAATACTCAAACCCTCAACTCCCTAAACTCTTAAATCTTCAAATCCCCAGATCCTCAAACTCTCAACTCTCATATCAATTCCCTATCCTCTAGATCTCCACTACATCCAACTGACCTAATCCCAAAAAAGAGCCCCGATAACCATTAATAAACGTAGCTATAAAAACACATAGTTACAATATCGATTTGGTCGCCACGGTTCAATCGAATCCGAAAAGCGGAAGATGCGATAGTCGAATACAGGACACGTGACGAGTTAGTCACTTGACCACGCGATTCAATATAGCGTACAGAGGCACGTTGGAAGATCGTCGTCACCATTGGCAGATCAAGGAACGACCTTACCCCCGGCCTCGTTCAGCGAACGTGACCCGAACGCCGATACGATATTGCGAGTCTCGACGGCCTCGCCGACTCTTTCGACCAATCGTCGTTATCGACTGACCGTCGTGTTCTCCGTCTTTTCTCAAATTCTCGTGTTTATGTCAATAAAACACCGCCTGTTCATAGTTCGATGGTTCACAGACTCCACGATCGTAAAAGTTCTTTCTCTTTTGACCGGAACGATGCTCTTCTTATCGCGGTCACGCCATTCAGATTCGAAGCTAATCGACGCTGGTTCATACCGGAATATCTTTCTTTCTTTTTGACAAATTTAGCTGTTTGCTTATTTAGGTCTGCGATTTTATTACGCTGTAGAGGAAATACATTTATGATATAAATGGCTAAGTATCTACTTAGCCATTTATATTATATTCAATTCATGTTTGGAAAGTATTAAGGTACTTTAAAGTAGTAGTTATGTATTCGAAACGTGTGCAGGCCCTTTATTTCAATGGTCATTTTTATGGTCGCAGAATTTACAGTAAAATTCAAAAGGTATAAATTAGTGAAAATTACATTTGAATTTGGATGGACATTCTTTGACCTCAGAATCAAGTTAAAATTTTAAAAAATAATTTTTATTAAAAATGTCAGTCAAAAATATAATAATGTAATTGGTGCACCTAATACGTTGGTTTATTTAACACTTTGTACACATGGGATTTATGAGTTCACAAGCTTGAACTTTTGATGTAATAAGAAGCACGTAGCAGTCGAGGTATCAACACATAGCTAATTATTTGAGGAGTTCGAGCTTCCATACAACCTAATCCTGAATTTACAAAGTTACTCTCCACAATATCGATTACATGAAACCAGAAACTGCACCTTACCTTAACAAGATACATTATTTCCCTGACAAACTCCGTTGCAAATACCTTGGAAATCTCCATAATGTGCAGTAATTTCAGAATAAATTTAAATCACAAGTTCAAAGTTCTCACGAGGTCCATACTTTAAAACATTCTTGACACTTTGTGAAATATTAAAAACATTGAACATTACAACTGGATAATTTAAACTAGCCAATAATTTCCAAGAAACGTAAAACATTCTCAAATGTAATCCAGCCACTCCACATTATTAAAACATTATTCCAACAAGGATAGTTCCAAGATTATTCCAGCATCCACAAGGAAAAATAAGACTTTCAAAGTATTTTAAAAATAGAAATCAGCAAGAACTCAAGGAAAAGGAAAATGGTCAACGTGCTAGCCGGTCATTTTAATCGAGCTCAAGATCAACAATCTCAATGCTGTCGTTTGTTTTATTCAGGCGGCCATCGACGAAGCTTTCAAAGAGGAGGCCAAGCTTTCGGACCTGTTCACGGTGAAGGCCAACACGAAGGCACTGATCTACACGTGCTTGCTCGTCGCCTTCCAGCAGCTCAGCGGTATCAACGTGGTCCTGTTCTACATGGACGGTATTTTCAAGAGCGCGAAAGTCGCGTTGGAGACCTCGCTCGCGACCATCATCGTAGGAGTAGTGCAAGTGCTTGCCTCGTGTGTCACACCTTTCGTCGTTGACAGACTTGGCAGAAGAATGCTGCTCGTTTTCTCTGGCGTTGGCGAGATCGTCAGTTTGGTAAGTTATTTTCGCCACAGTACTTTCAAATTTCTTCATGATTAGTTCGAATAATTCGTGCAAATAGAAAATTACTGATTACGCGGTCTTGCTGTCGATTGCTTCTAACAGCCACGATGGCTTTAAAATTATTCCACTCCTACATTAATAATTTAATATTTATCGAAGTTCGAAATACTTGAACATATAACACATCGATGTTCATAAACAAAAAAAAATAATATATTAGACTTAGGAATATGTGAATAAAATGTACAAGGAAAATGTTGTGTATTGCACTTGTGAATGAAGTTATCTCTACATTACAATTTTTCTATCGACCGAAAAAAGTTATCAGTTTCATAATTATTACCACGGTACTGAACTTACATTCGCGATAAAGAAACGAGGATTGCGTTATTTTTGCAACAAACCGCTCTATTGGAAGTCTGATTGGCATTCAATGAACTGGAACACGAGATGACGTCTTTCTTGCCGATCGATTACGCGCAAACAACAAAAATACAGCGACGGTTGCCAGATCCGAATAGTTCTTTTCTAGCGACGTCAAGTTTCGTGTACGTCACAAATGTTTCTTCATTTCTCACGCTTCGAAGCGTCGTTTAATGATCGGTGTGCTAAGATCACAAAAATGATTGCTTCCACATTGTCATTTGGACGTTGTAAAAATCCTCTGTAACTTAGATTCCTATCGTGTTCGAATCTTGACTACGTCAAATTCTGGGAATTCAAAACACATTAGACAGAAATTGCGATTGAGCCGAGTAGCAATTTGTCTGAGGAATTTACGTTTCACAAAAGTAGTTTTCAACTATGTTCGGTTATAGAAGAAACGATAGAGATGAGAGATATGGGAATGTGGGGATGTAGGGATAGGAAGAAGGAATGCGAGATTATAGAGGAGGGGATGTGGGATATAGGACTTTAGGGATTCGGTATGTGGAAATAAAGACGCGTAGAACTACGGCGTGGGGAGGTATGATGCGTGCGATTAGGACGCATGGGAGTACGGCGCGGGAGATTAGGGCGCGTGAGGTTACGGTGCGTGGAATTACGACGCGTGGAAGTACGGTGCATGGAACTTGCAACGCATGGAATTACGGCGCGTGGAAATTCGGCGCATGGAACTTTCGACGCGTAGAATTAGAGCGCGTGGAATTACGACGCATGGAACTTTCGACGCGTAGAATTAGAGCGCGTGGAATTACGACGCATGGAACTTTCGACGCGTAGAATTAGAGCGCGTGGAATTACGACGCATGGAACTTTCGACGCGTAGAATTAGAGCGCGTGGAATTACGACGCATGGAACTTTCGACGCGTAGAATTAGAGCGCGTGGAATTACGACGCATGGAACTTTCGACGCGTAGAATTAGAGCGCGTGGAATTACGACGCATGGAACTTTCGACGCGTAGAATTAGAGCGCGTGGAATTACGACGCATGGAACTTTCGACGCGTAGAATTAGAGCGCGTGGAATTACGACGCATGGAACTTTCGACGCGTAGAATTAGGGCGCGTGGAATCACGACGCATGGAAGTGCGGCGCGTGGAAATTCGGCGCATGGAACTTTCAACGCGTAGAATTAGGGCGCGTGGAAGTACTGCGCGTGGAAATTCAGTGCATGGAACTTTCAACGCATGGAATTACGACGCGTGGAAGTTCGGCGCATGGAACTTTCGACGCGTAGAATTAGGGCGCGTGGAACTACAACGCGTGGAAGTACGGCGCGTGGAATTACAACGCGTGGAAGCACGGCGCGCAGAAATTCGGCGCACGGAACTTTCAACGCGTAGAATTAGGACGCGTAGAATTACGACGCGTGGAATTACAACGCGTGGAAACGCAATCATGTAGAATTGCAACTCACAGAAAAACAACGTTGAAATACAGCACGTGGGAATAAAACCGTGCGGAATTACAAGCTCGTGGAAGCACCTTACGTGGAAATACGTGTGAAAATACGGCGCGAAGGAATACGTCACAAAATCCTTCAAACCCAACACACTGATAAAATGATAAGAAACAAGTCTAAATAAAAATAACGATAAACATAAGAAAAATGCATTGTATCTTCTTAAAAACGTTCTGTCTCCAATTAGAATAGCAATTTTGCAGCCAATTATGTCCCAGACAATGTGATCCTAATTTAATCCGGCTGAATTGCAAAAAGTCGGCACCATTTGCACGTTTGACGCGCTATAATTGATCAATTACGTGCCTGACTATCCCCGCAAACGGAAAAACATCATGATTGAACGACGCAACGATGAATCGATGAATTACAAAATTACCATGGATAGTAATTAACCGCGTTCCAAGCATACCAAGAGATGATCGGTGTCTGTAACGATTATAAACACGACCAGTTGCACGCCAGGCTGCTTCCATTTTTTTCTTTTTATTTTCCCATCATTAGGGAATTTACTGGGAAATGACGATGATACACGGAGAACCAACGATCCTACACGCGTCGTTACGAGACATTGACATTCGATCGGTGCAACAATCTATGACGAGTAATTAGACACGACCTCATCGTTCCAGGTAGATGAAGTCATCGGAACAACCGATCGTTTCCGTGTCCATAGCACGTTTGATCGAGTATTTGAAGAATAAACTGACTTATATTTTTCAAAACTCGTTCAATGCATCTGCAATCAGTATAGCACGATATTTAAATGAGGAGTCATCATTCGCTACGAAGTCTTTGTTACGATATATCACATGTGTCAATTCGAAGTTGGTTACACTTACAATTGGAACGACCCTTCCACAGTTGCAAGGTAAAGATGCACGCAAAGAATTAACGAAGGAGCAAACAACCTCGATTCGTGTTCGCGCGTTACAACAGCGGAATGCGACTCGCATCAGGAGTGCATCCGCACACACCGTCACATTCAACAGGTTACATAAATCGATTTGAATAGACGTTGCAAGGCCGCGATCGATTTGTTGCCGCTATTTTGCAATACCTACGAAACTTACGCCGATGGACAGTGGATCAAGGTTGCGAAAAGAGCCATCCGATGCAACATATCGAACTTGTTGCGAAACCTAATATGGCAACTTTTCACGTGAACTTACTGCGAGACAGGTACAGAATTTCACAATCTCTCACGAGATAGCGAAGTTTCACGTGTTATACTTTCACGGGACGTGAATACACGTGCTGTAATTCCGCGCGTTGTATTTCCACGCGACGTAATTCCTCGCGTTGCAATTACTTGCGTAGTACTTCCATGCGTCGTAGTTCTACGAGTCGAAATTCTACGCGTTGCACTTCGCACTGTACCTCTACGCGTTCTAATTCCACGCGCTAGCAATTCCACGCGCCGTAATTCCATGCGTTGTGATCATACCGCCATAATTCCACGCGTAGTAATTCCACGCGTCGTAGTTCCACGCGCCGAATTTCCACGCGTCGAAATTCCACGCGTCGAAAATTCCACGCGCCGAATTTCCACGCGTCGAAATTCCACGCGCCAGTACTCCCATGCGTCGTAATTCCACGCGTCGTAATTTCACGCGTTGCACTTCCATGCACTGTACCTCTACGCGTCCTAATTCCACGCGCTGTAATTCCACGCGTCAGTACTTCCATGCGCTGTAATTCCACGCGCCAGTATTCCCATGCGTCGTAATTCCACGCGTCGTATTTCTACGCGCCGTAATTCTACGCACTGTAATTCCACGCGCCAGTACTCTCATGCGCCGTAATTCCACGCGTCGTATTTCTACGCGTCGTAGTTCCACGCGTTGTAATTCCACGCGCCGTACTTCCATACGTCGAAATTCTACGCGTTGCTCTTCCACGCACCGTACCTCTACGCGTCCTAATTCCATGCGCTAGTAATCCCATGCGCCATAATTTCACGCATCATATTTCTACGCGCCGTAATTCCACGCGCCGTAATTGCTCGCGTCGTATTTCTACGCGCCATACTTTCACGTCGCCGTATTTCCACTCATCATAATCTTGCTCCTTACAATTTTCAGCAATTGCTATACACCCTCTTCACAGTACAATAAACCTCTCACAAAGCTGAAGTTTCACTTAACCAAGTCACTAACGTACATTTCTCTTATATTTTCCAGGGCGCCCTCGGCATCTACATGTACCTGCAAGATGTCCAAAAGTCAGACGTGAGCAGTATCTCGTTCCTGCCGATTCTCGCTCTGGTCGTGTTCATCTCGACCTACAGCGTCGGTTCAGGTCCCGTTCCATGGTCCGTGATGGGTGAAATGTTCGCCTCTGACGTAAAATCGAAGGCTTCCGGTATCACGGTATTCGTCTGCTGGACGCTCTCCTTCTTCATCACGAAATTCTCCAAGAACTTGCAAAATGCGCTCGGTAACTACATGCTGTACTGGGTGTTCGGTGTGTTCTGTGTGATCAGCGTGCTGTTCACTGTGCTGGTGTTGCCCGAAACGAAGGGCAAGAATTTGCAACAGATCCAAGACGAGTTGAACGGCGTGAGCCCCTCGGTTCCCGAGTTTGGTGACTCGAGTAAGAAATGAAAACAGTATTACGGTACATGGGGATGAATAACCGTGCTCTTGGTCGTTCTTCTCGTCCCCGTGATACCCTGATCGAACCATTTGTTTCCTCCTTTTACAAGCGCGTTAATATACTGCCAAAGGCCGTGATCGCGGTTCTGGATCCTTACGGACGGACTAGAGACGAGTGGACATTAATTTAGGATCGTAGAAACGGGTCGGGTCGACAACGCTCACGATTTTTAGGTATACGTGTGTGTACATAGGCGGACGGGGGAAACTGAACAGTTTTGGACGAGTGTCTTTCGATACCGCAGTCTTATATTTTTTTTAAATTGCTCTTGATGACGGTTCTTGTAAATTGCTGTTGATGGACGATTCATGTGAATTGTTGTTGATGGATGGTTCATGAAAAAATTGTAGTTCATGGATGGTTCATGTAAATTGCAGTTCATGAAACAATTGTAGTTGACGGTTTATGCAAATTGTCTATTGATGTGCAAAATATTGGTTAAGTGTTTAGTAGGTCACTGAAGTACTATCATCTACTTGGACTTAAAGTTTACATCACTAGAACAAACAGTTAGTAGGTAAAATAATTTACCATCCTCGTAAACTGCGCAACTATTAAACTTGACATTGAATAAAGAACTTATCTTCATATAGAGGACTGCAAACAAGATGGCAACAGTAGAGCTACAGGCAAGTTATTCGCTGCAACTTTTACCACAGCTTTGAAACTGTCATGTCCAAACTGCTTTGCTAACAATTTGAGCAGGTCTTTAGATGTATTTTGAACGACTCGCAAAGTTACACCGGTAGCTTTTGTGAATAAACACAGATTTGATCGACTTGGCGATATCGAATGACACTCGAAAACCTGTGATCTGTCCCGTTTCTGGTCACGTCCGCGCAATAATAGTTTCTAAATATATTTATTTCCCGACTTTTAGCCGTTCAACGCGTCGTTTCATATATATGTAAGTCTCATGCGATTCTTCGAATCCCTGCACGATAATTTAACGCGTTCGGTCCAGGTCCTCCAAGATGGCCGCCTCTTTGGAGTCGTTCGAAACAGTATCTCAAACTTAAAACTTACTGTAAAACTAAGAACCTTAGTCTTTGGAGATTCAGATAAACTCATCACTCTCCATATTTTTATTTACAACCACACTGTACCCAAACCTATTCAAGACACGAACGCGTTAACGTCGTAAGTTTGATCAGACTCCGCGGAAAATGAAGATTAAGATCGATGATTCAGATTAAAGCGTCATCGGGCGTCCCCTCGCAAAATGGCGTTCGGAAATTCCGCGGGTCGATGGCTAGGTTGAAAACTGACGTTCTTCGAGAGCATGTTACTCGAATACTAAATAAAAAAGACCTAGACGACATTCCTATTTCACGTGCGAAGATGGATACCGATGTTCCTAAGCGATTCGAAGAGTTTCTTGACGTTCTTTGTGTTTCGGAAAAGCGGTGGAATTGATTAGACTAGTAGACGAGAAGCAATATTTTCTACATCCTCTAGAGTATCGTTGGAATTCACGTTACGGAATATTTTTTGGAATTCCAGTATTCTACGATTCGTTCGGTGTATTCGAACGAGACAGGGGAATCGACGATGGATCAATTTTTAGTCGATTAGAAACACCGTAGTATTTTTTGTTAAGAACGTTTCCTTATCACCTTAGTGTCAGTGTATAATTTTAGGTTTAGTCGATGATTTTAAGCATAATTCAACTTCTATTTGGAGTATTGTTTTTAGACATTGCGCGTGTACTATCACTTTTTTGTTCAGCGACTGTACTTACCTAACTCAGCTACGTACCAAAGATCCTAACCTACCCGTTAACCCTTTGCGAACCTTCGAGTCAGGAATAAGAAGGCAAGGAATAAAAATCAAGTACATAAACATTAGTACTCGTGTTTAAATATTGAAATTGTTTGCATATTTAATATGAAAAAACTGACACCTCAGAGAATATTTAGAAATATTCACAGTAGTGAAAATTATAGAAATGATTTGATTCGCAAAGGGTTAAGAAACTTCTTTTTGGATCAACACGCGCACAAGAATTTTTACAGCAACACTTGTATCTTATTTACATTATTTTGTAACTTTAAAGGATGTGCCAAACGCGTTGTTAAGATTGCACGAGTGTTAGCGGAATGACGAAAGACATATCAATTAACCGAGCGTTTTCAACGACATATCTTCGAAGCACAAACTTATCGTAAGTTAAATACAATTAGAAAATTACTTCGTAAACGCGTTAATTACCGCAGCGAGTCGCACGACAAAAACTAGTTTTATGCCAATTGTTCTTCCCTTTTATATACGTAAATAAATGACAGTTACCGTTAATACGATATCAAAATACGATCTATTTCTGCGCGAGCAAAAAATCAGGAGCAAAAAGAACTACGCTGGTAAAGTGATTAACGATCAAACTTGATTGCATGCATATTCATGAAACATGAAGAGAGTCGAGACTGCAGGATATCAAGGATAGAATTTTTGTTCGATGAAAAATACTGTAAACTTCCTGCCGGTGCAGCCCTTTTTTAGGAAATTGTTGCATTCATTATGCAACGACGTTTTGTTCGTGTACGCAATCTCGAGATTGCAGCTGCGCGATTGTAAAATCGATCGTTCTTTTCCTTCGTTCGAGAGCAATAAAATTTTCAGAGACTTGAAAATACTGCGGCACTCAAGGAAATCGCGTTCGAGTGTACGACTACAGTCTACCAAATGTGAAGTACTTTTTTACGTTTCGTGCTGTAATTTTTTTAATCGCGGTGCACTTCAAATTTAAATATTCGTATGCAAATTCAAACTGGATAAATATCAAATTTGAAGTATATTTATCTCTAAATGTAAATAATGCATTGAATATTACAGAGATGTCAAAGTTAATTTCAGTCAAAGTAGATAAATAAAAAATTTGGAATATTCTTCAGATATTTTCTCAAAGTTAATTTCAGTCAAAGTAAAAATAAAAAATTTGGAATATTCTTCAGATATTTCCTCAGATTCTGACCTAAATTTTAACTCAACAGTAATGAACCCAAATTTTAATCTACATTTAGAGTTTCCACAAATTTTAAATATACAGCACGAAACGTGAAAAAAGAATTGAAAAAAATACAGCGCACATTAGTCGAAGCACAATGAAATTTTAACGATAATGATTTCTACACGCGATTGCGAGATAGGTTTTATAATAAGGAACGGTGAGAAATGTTTTGTACGAAGTAACGAGAGAGTGTGATATACGTATCAATCTAATCAGGGTACAAATCAGTTGTTTGGGAAGATTTTAATCGACGATGCTCCAGAGATATATATCTATATTTTCCATACGAATCGTCATCCGACGCGACTGTACATATTAATATTATATACGCGTTACTACATAGTATAAGTACGATAAATACTTTTGTACACACTTGTTATGGCTAAATAAATTATAACTTTGAAGTATTATGCACGAAGATGGACTTTTTTCTGTCGAGCCTGAACCTATTCTTCCCACCTATTTCGTTTTTTTTTTATATCCCCACTACAAATTTTATATCCCCGATACAATTTGTCTCATAGAGATATTAGGTAATTTGTTCGAACGAGTTGAGCGAAGCAAAAATTTGTCTGCAGTCTGAAATTCGAGGTGAAATATACAATCGACGAATGAAAAGAAAGAAAATCAACTTCAGTTCGAGCGTACACGTGTTATCGGTCGATTTCATGAATTTTGTAGAGCTCGCAAAGTATTTTTATTCAGTGATTACTTAAATACAATGGCTAAACGCAGACACGAAAAGGATTCCGAAATGGTAAAAGTAATTTAGAAAAAAATTAATTCCTGAGCAATTATTCATTGGATATCTAGGACGAAGAGGACACGAGGTTACAAGAGGAGCTCCTTCAGCTCGTCGACGTGTTAATAGTAATTGCATTTAATCTCCGCGCAATTTCTTCATTTGCATAACCTATAATTCCCATATCAATATTCAAGGGAAACGACGAGACCAAGATGCTAGTATCCTTATGCCAATTAAGATTGCTGATGCAAACGGCGACCACCTCGATGACCTCCGTACCGAAACCGCTCAAGTATTTAAAAAACTCGTACGAGCCGTTGAAGCAGGCTTACAGCAGGATCGAAAGCGCGGACGTGAAAAGACAACTCGCCGAAGTGGTGAGCGTGTTGTCGCTGGCGGCTGCGCCTCCAGGGTGCAAGGAGTGCTTGGAATATTGTATCAAAGGGGGCGTGAGGAACCCTGGGGAATGGGGTCACGAATATGTACGGCAATTGGAAAATGAAATCGTGGACGAGTGGACTAACGCTCCCGTGAAAGACGAGGAGCGTGTAAGGTATAGCGAATCTCTTTGCTGTACAGCGAGACATTATGTGTATAATAGATCGTAAATTGAGGTCGTAGATCAGAGACAATTTAAAGTTCATTAAATGGGAAAATTTATTGAAATGGTCAAATTATTTTTGTGACTGGAAACTGACTTCTGGAGTCAGTTTCGTATATTCTGATTTCAGAAACACTACCTTATTGTTCATGTTTAGAAATTAAGAAATTGTTGAGGATATCTGTTCTTAGGAATCAGCTAACGTCTTTAGTGAAATGCATAGTGAAATTCGACATGAAGCACAACGCGGAGATACCAGGATGCGACTTGTGCTTAGAAATCGATCAGTTAAGCTTCCTCGACGATTGTTTAGACTCCACGAATTTTGAGAGGGTCTGTCGCTATTTGGAAGGCTGTGCGATGTATAGGTGAATTTCATTAACCTTGTCGGTTGTTTCACCCATTCTTCAGTATACTCAGTTAATTATAAATATCAATGACTCTTATAATTGATGCAAAATGAGACTATTAAAATGTACAGCGAGGACACTGAGAAAAGGCAGATACTTCAAGTGGCGGTCAACTACTATTTGAGATTCAAGCAGTACTGCAAGGCGATGCTGATCGCTATGCAACTAGGGGATTCGAACCTTGTGCATCAGTGTCTTACTACCTGTCCTGATAATCTCACTAGGAAACAGCTGGCGTATATACTCGTCAGACAACGGGTATTGTACTCAGTTAATTTCTTGTCATTTAACATAAAACATTAACTGAAACTATTGAATATCAAAAATTACATCAAACACTGTGGCCTGAGTAATAATATCTAACCTAATAACTAAATCTTTACTAAATCTCCAACACCGACCTGTTCATCTCGAATATATTAAAGATCTCCTACGAAACAGACCTAAGTCAGTGAAATAAAGTTTGAAAAAATACTTCAGGATAGTCCTCTGAAAAAAGAATACCAAGGCGACGATGCAGCAGAGATAGAGACCATCCTAAGCAACAGTCACGTGATCAGTCACTTCCACCTTCTCGCGAGAGAACTCGACATCCTCGAACCTAAACATCCTGACGATATCTACAAGACCTGGTTGGAGTCAAGCAACACGCTCAGACAGACCGAACACGATTCTGCCAGAGCGAATTTAGCTTCCAGCTTCGTTTCTGGCTTTGTACATGCTGGGTTCGGGCAGGATAAACTAATGGCGAACGCGGCGGACTCTTGGGTTTATAAGAACAAGGTTTTAAATGCAAATCTGAAAGAATCTAAATTCTTTGAGAATCTGATTCTTTAACCCCTTGCCGTGCCATTTATTTATGAGGTGCGTCAGTCCAGACTAACCATTCAGGACTATAACATTAAAACGAACAAAGAAAATTAAAATGTTCTAAGTATTTTATATTCAGGGATCCTTGACAACGCAAATTATAGTTGGATCTAAAATTCAAGTTGAAGAGTATTCGAAATTTGAGTAACATTAATCACATTTGAGTTGTGAGTGCGTCACGAGTGAGACTCGTCAAAGCACGGGAAGGGGTTAAGAATTTGATTGTGCGTAGAATTAGGGCGCGTGGGAGTACAATGCGTAGAAATACGGCGCGTGGAAATACGACGCGTAGAGGTACGGTGCGTGGAAGTGAAACGCGTAGAATTTCGGCACGTAGAATTACGACGCGTGGAATTACCGACGCGTGGAGATACGATGCGTAGGTGTACGGTGCGTGGAAGTGCAACGCGTAGAATTTCGGCACGTAGAAATATGGCGCGTGGAATTACGACGCGTGGAATTACCGACGCGTGGAGATATGACGCGTAGAGGTACGGTGCGTGGAAGTGAAACGCTTAGAATTTTGGCACGTAGAAATATGGCGCGTGGAATTACGGCGCGTGGAATTACCGACGCGTGGAGGTACGGTGCGTGGAAGTGCAACGCTTAGAATTTTGGCACGTAGAAATATGGCGCGTGGAATTACGGCGCGTGGAGATACGACGCGTAGAGGTACGGTGCGTGGAAGTGCAACGCTTAGAATTTTGGCACGTAGAAATATGGCGCGTGGAATTACGGCGCGTGGAATTACCGACGCCTAGAGGTATGATGCGTAGAATCTCGACGCGTGGAAATACGACGCGTAGAGGTATGGTGCGTGGAAGTACAATGCGTAGAATCTCGGCGCGTAGGAGTAAATCTAAAAGAATCTAAATTCTTCAAGAATCCGATTCTTCACGAATTTGATTCTCGAAAGAGAAATAATCTTAAATTTGGTTACAGGATCGTGGAATGCTATCGGCTACTGCCTCCCTAGGTTTAATACATATGTGGGATGTGGATGGTGGTTTGGTACCGATTGACAAGTGAACATCATCTTCTTCTTTTTAAAGTATAAAGGTTGCAATGTGCAATGTAACGTTTGTTTTCTAGGTACCTGTATACGAACGATGATTTTATTAAATCAGGAGCCTTGCTCGCTATTGGCTTGGTAAATTGCGGGGTTCGAAACGAATGTGATCCCGCACTGGCTCTTCTGAGCGATTACGTGCCTTCCGATAATGCGACGTTAAAAATTGGGGCTGTTCTAGGACTGGGCTTGGCTTACGCCGGGTCACAGAGGTCTGATGTCACTGAACTCTTAACTGGAGTTCTATCAGATAAGACAAGTATGATGTTTAGGAAGTCCAAGGAAATTCTCGACTCAATTTCAAATTATATCAATAACCCTCTACCAGGTACCATGGAAACCGTGTCGCTCGGTGCGATCGCAATAGGATTGGTAAACGTAGGTTCAGCCGATGCCGATGTCTCCTCGATACTTCTCCAAAAGCTCCTAGAACTAACTCCTCAAGAGCTGTCCAGTACTTACTCCAGGTTGGTCAAATACCTTTACACGTAAGCCTGAGTTCAACGCCTGCTTCCACAGATTTCTGCCTCTATCATTGGGCATGGTATACATGGGCTGCAGAGACATCATAGAGGCCCCTTCCGCTGCCCTCCAAGTTCTACCTGAACCCTACAAGCTACCCTCGCAAACTATACTACAGGTGACGTCTACAGTCTTATCGCGAATCAAATAAAGCTGTAATCGTTTTCAGGTGTGTGCGTACGCTGGGACAGGTGATGTGTTGATCGTGCAGGAGTTGCTGCGGATTTGTTCGGAACCAGTGAACGGTGAACACGCATCAGAAACGTCCATTCACTCTTCAGGCACCAGCTGCTGCGACCCGCGTTCTCGAAATGCAGAATCGCCTGAGAAAAAAACGAAGAAGTCAGAAGAGAAGTTAGAAGGATCCAAGTATGTCTCTTAAATGAGCGATTCATTTCGTGATTCATACTCATGAAGTTGTTACTGATTTTGTGTATTAGGGAAATCGGATCGACTCAGGCTATAGCCACTTTGGGTGTTGCGGCTGTTGGTCTGGGAGAGGGGAAGGAAGACTCGAGGATTTTTGGTCAAGTTTGTCACTTTTTTATACCATAAGCTATGTTCATAAAATCAAGTTAAACATCTGTACAATCTTTGCTCTTCAAATTAATATATTTACAAGTTTACGATCTCCCTAAGAGGTTCAAAGTTTCAATATCATTTCCAGATCGGAAGATACGGTCCCATATCCGCAAGGAGGGCAATGCCACTCGCCCTAGGCTTGTCCTTCCTCTCAAACCCAGACCTAGCAGTTCTGGACGTTCTAAACAAATACAGTCACGACAACGACGCCGAAGTGACCAACAACGCGATCTTCGCCCTCGGTCTGGTCGGTGCTGGAACAAACAACGCTCGTCTTGCGACCATGCTGAGACAACTGGCTTGTTACCACGCGAAGAATCCCCTGCACCTGTTCCTCGTTCGAATATCCCAGGGTCTAGTGCATCTTGGAAAAGTAATTCAAGTTCAAGAACCCCAGATTAATTTGCAATTTATTATTCATCGTATTTAGGGAACGTTGTCCATATCTCCGTTGCGTTTCGCCTCCAAAGTCCTCGATCGAACCGCCTTGGCTGGACTGATGGTGGTCTTGGTCGCCTTTTTGGACAATCAGAACCTCATCCTGACGAGATCTCATTACTTGATGTATTGTTTGGCGCTGGCGATGGAACCTAGGTGGTTGGTCACCTTGGATGAAAATTTACAAGTATAGTTGCTTGGTTCACTAAATTGAGTGGGGTTGTAAATTAATGTTTGTAGTTTGGGGGTTGTAGACATTTGTTGGGTGAATAGAATGAGGGAAACGATTAATATTATGCAAATTGGGAAGAATCTAAATTCTTCGAGAATCTGGTTCTTCAAGAATTTGATTGTGCGGGGATTTGCGGCGCGTGGGAGTACGATGCGTAGAATTAGGGCGCGTGGGAATACGACGCGTGGAATTACGGCGCGTGGAATTAGGGCGCGTGGAAGTTCGATGCGTAGAATTAGGGCGCGTGGGAATATGACGCGTGGAATTACGGCGCGTGGGAGTTCGATGCGTAGAATTAGGGCGCGTGGGAATACGACGCGTGGAATTACAGCGCGTGGAATTAGGGCGCATGGGAGTACGATGCGTAGAATTAGGGCGCGTGGGAATACGACGCGTGGAATTACGGTGCGTGGAATTAGGGCGCGTGGGAGTACGATGCGTAGAATTAGAGCGTGTGGGAATACGGCGCGTGGAATTACGGCGCGTGGAAATACGATGCGTAGAATTGGGGCGCGTGGAATTTTGACGCGTGGATTTGCGGCGCGTAGAATAATAACCGAAAGTATCACAGTCCCTGAATATAAAATGATGGTTTAGAGTCTGCCAGTGTCCGTGAGGGTTGGTCACGCCGTGGACATCGTGGGCAAGGCTGGAAATCCTAAGTGCATCTCCGGAGGATACGTTCACACGACTCCAACGTTGCTTTCCTACGGAGAAAGAGCAGAACTCGCCTTGGACGAATACGAAGCGTTATCCAACGTGTTAGAAGGCTTCATCATTCTTCGAGAGAAGACCGCTTCGTAAAATCAGTGACGGTGGAGGAATGTCTGACACCGAAACTGGGATAAATGACCTTTATTTCGCGAGAAGAAACATGAAAATCTTGAAACCAAAACGATACACTATAGTTTCTTCCAGTTTTGTAATAAAATAGAGGCAAAATTCTCGACGAGAATTTGTAACTTCGCAGCTTTGACAAGAATCGATTCGAACGAAACTTTCGCTTGATAAAAACGAGGCGCGAACGATCAGCGTTTTGTATAGGTTTGCATTTATTTAACTTCAGAGACTAGCGGAAGCAATGTGCTCTATACAACGGAAACATACATTGGTTCGCATTGCACGGAAACAGGTAGAGACAACGGTGCACCATGATCTGACAGTGTCACGGTTTATCGTAAATAAAATACAGCTCAACCCTTTGACTGCGTAGACGTTAATTAAGATACAAGTGGTTGCTTCGAACATTTTATAAATTTGTATGTACCAAAAACTTGTTGACCGAGCCAAAGGGTTAAGTGAAAAAATCAAACAGGAAGAAAAGAAATAAAAGGAACAAGCAAGATACAGAAATAAACGTGAGAAACGTAGGGAACATAAAAATAATCCCGAACGAGCGATTACAAGAAATTCTTGTTCACCGTGTACATTTATTCGCTAATGTTAAAACTCTGCAAATTAAAGATAAATATTGCAGTTTATTGATTTCGATAATGTGTACAAAAGCGGACCACAAGGAAACGAGCAACGATTATTTATCGTGGATAAGAACTGTGTGTCCTTTCTTTCTTTATTCTCGCCACGCATAAACGTCTGTGCATATCAGTTTCTGCCTGTTCGTCAACAGGTTCGCAATTACACAAGATCATGGAGCACGTTCCTGTATTCTCGTTAACGTAGCCACGAGAAATTCTCCAAGAAATTGCACGGACGCGTGTGTCGGATGCTCTTGCAAAGAGAAACTATCAACGACTTTTCTCGTGTTAAAAAAAATGTCCGCCGACATTTACATATTATAGGCACATGACTTAGGGTAAGTGGCGATGTGTAGAGTGAAACACGCGTTTCTCGACTCGTTCTTTTTTTCCGGTTTTCTAATTTTTTCGTATCGAGTTACGTTTCGGGAAGCTTAACACCTTGACGGTCGCCTATTTCGTGAAATAACTTTCTGTGGCTTAGATCGTTACACGCTTAACTTCTTCAAGGATCGACACGTTTACCTTTTTATTTGATTCGTTAAATGATCTCGTGGACATTCTTACGTATAATTAAAATAAGTATGATTACGTAATATAATTAGATTTCTATCTTAAAAGAAAATCATCCCTGAAGAGGTTAAGATTGAGGCATTCTATGGAAATATCTTGGGTTCCCAAAATATTCTTACACCTGGAAGCCTCAAAGTGTAACGGTGTATAATGATAGATAAATGAAAATAAGGTGGATGGTAGCGGCTGTCAAAGTGTTAACATCAGTTCGATTAGATCCAACTGTCCTATTCCAATGTACGCACGCTTCGCAAATATTTAGCTTGCCGTCTGACGTACTCGCGCGAAATAGAACAATTACAATAGTCTATTCGCAAATATTTTGATTGAAGCACAGATATGATTCGTGTAATCTCGCCCGCACCGCAGAGCGTTTTTCATGTATTCGATACAAGTCAGAAATCGTTAAGACATGTCTTATATATTATAATTTAACAACAGACACATTGTCTGTTAACGAGCATTAAAATTGATAAATATCGATGACGCATGCATTGACCACGTCACTCGGCAAGCTGGTCTTTCTTTCTACTTATATCATAAATTTCTCATGTTCCTTATAGTAAAATATAATAATAATAATAATATAATCATAATAATAATAATAATAGTTAAAACTTAAATCATAATAATGATAGCTCCTATGATAGTAGCGCTTTCGTGTTTTATAACCCTTTGCAAATAGTATGTGTGTCTTGTGGTTCAAGCGAATTCTCAAAATTGTATATACGTATGTTTCTTTTATATATCTCGCTTCTTTTTGCTGCTGCTTGTTTCATCCACCGTAACATTCTCTTTCGCCTTATTTACAACAACGTACGTGCAATACGAGTATTACCATATGTCCTCTATTATTTGCCCTTGAATTTCGTTATTATTGCTCCCTCTAGCGTGCTCCATGTCGACATAAGCTCTAAGACACGACGAACATCCGTTGTAAATGGTCAAGTTTCTAACCTGGCTGATACAGTCGAGAGCATTCTAAGCTTCCCCTAGGGAAAATGGCGAAAGAGGGTATAGCGAATTACCGAGCATGGTACTCTTCCCTCAAAAAAATGGCGACGAGGAAGAACTCGCCTAGAAATTCTCAAACTTTTGAATTTCAAAATTCTTCCAAGTGTTCAACTCTCTAAATTGTCACCGTCTCAAATCTTTGACATATAAATTACCAAATTCATTAATGGAACCTTCCTCTACATCGACATTTTCCCAAAGGAAGATCACCATCGGAACAGCTACTCTCCTAAAACGCTACCCATCTACCGTTTTCTTTTCCCTTCATGGTCACGAAATTACACGCTAGACACGGGAGTAGAATTCTCTGAAACCGTTCTCTAAAACGGTTACCCATAGGATTCATACATACACATATGTATCTTCTCTTTAACTCTACCTTCTCGAAACATTTTTCATTAACAACGATAACGTATAGACTCTATCGTCGATCCGAAATGTTCCTCCGCCCCTAATCATCGACCTGTCTTTCGAGTCTCGTCTGCCCATCGCGGTAACGGATAAACACAATTATGAACAGCAAAGATTCTCCCGTAAGAAGCACCGAAGTCACAGGGTAATAATTAAATCGAGGATCAAAAGTGTCAAGCTGCCTGTGGATTCGTTGCTGAGAGAAGAAAATTGACGACGAATGGCAGTGCTCATCTGTGTGTGTATACGTGTTGTCGTTTGTGTGTACGTGTGTGATGATGTGTATACGTGTCATCGAAGATTCCCCGTGAATCATTGAACGTCAGTGACCGAGGACGATCGTCCCGATGATATTGTTCGCGTTTGAAAACCGCCATGTATCGTCGGCTCTTTGAACACGTGTTCCCTTTTTCATGATATACCTACCACGCTGAAGGAATGTACACTCTATAGCACGGTAACACAGTCGCGACACGATCAAGGTAATATATAAGTAGAACGCGTAATATGCTGCTGGTTAAAACAGTCGGGCACGTCTTTTGATTTCGTTACGACGCCACTGTGGTAGTCTGTAGAACTCGGCACGGGTACACTGGAGAACTGCCTCGAATTCCGCGTCGGAAAGATGCCGCTGGAACAGATTGCAAATGTAATTGTTTGATAATCGTTTATTAGACGAACTGTTTATTAGCTGAACTTACTTCGAGATTGCAACGATCCACATCGGCTGGCAGCCTGTAGTTAGTGATGACAAGTAAGTGATAGGGATAGAGTTTGGGTGGTTCGGATGGCGCTGTGCCCATGTCCGGTAACGATCTTCTTACGTGATGGCCCCCGTGACTCCCGACTACCGAACCTAGGCCACCTGTATACGTGGTGGACGATGGCAGCATCCCACCATCATTCTGCAGCACCGATTCAAACGTTAACTTTACTATAACACTAGCCACTTGCCTGGTGATGAGCAGTAGCGGTGCACTTGAAAAGTGTCTCGCACAATTCTTGAATATTCTCAGAGACTCAGACAACTTGTAAATTTACTTGAATCCACTGGTAGCGAACATGTACGAAAAAGAAGAAATGACAAACTGTGCGAGAACTCTTTATCGTTGTGTAGATGGAATCGTCGCTCGTTACAAAACCCAGTTTTGCAGCAACAAAAGAATCAATGGAACACCGCGTTTATTAATGGCGGGTTACGCAAACAGGTTGAACCGTCACCGGCGTCCCGTTTGCTCGTATTCAACGGTGATCAATGTGAGACAGAACTACAGCTAGACTGAAAGACGCGCCATTAGGACTAACTCGTCGTTGCATGCCAAAAGGGCATAGCCTTTGAAAATGCGGGAACTGAGAAATTTTATCGCGCGGCCATAAACATTCGACTGTCGTACGAAACTAGCACTAGATCCGTTAATTTTGTCTCTGATCGAAAATGAGAATGATAGCGCAATCTCATGCCCGTCTAATTCAGTTTAGACATAGTTCCGTGTTTATTAAGTATGCACAGTTATGCGACAGATGCAGAACTTCGATGCAGAATGTTATGCAGTCAAATCATGTGAACACCGCGGTACATGTCAGTTTCGATGACGTTATTCGAAACACAGAGCGATTTACACGTATCGATCGTACGGTAAGAGACTCGCATCGTGTTATCGTAGCGACAACGAGAAAATAAAAGTGGCGTTAAGTCGTGTCGATGGTCGAACAAAATCAAAAATAAGCCTCGCGTCGGATCGTCGTCGGTGTACGCGAACAGAAAAAATATCAAAGTTTCTCGCCAAAATAAATCAAATATGCAAACTTCAAATACCAAGGCAACTAATAAAAAAATATTAAAAAGATGCAAAAATGAAAAAAATGAGTAAAATAATCGTAGCAAATGTACAGCATACATGCGCAAATCAATGTACAAGTATGTACAATTTTACATCGCAACAGCGAGACTATGACGTTAATTATGTACAAATTTTGTTCGATCGATATACAGGGTGGGTCAACTTCGTTATTTGTAGACATAGAAAAGGTTCATTTATTATAGTTTGCGAATAATACAAATAGCGAAGGCAAGATAAAGTTAGACTCATCCTGTACAATGGGTCAAAGTCGTTCGATTCTACGTATAACTCGATTACTAGGATTAACGCGTTCATGATAATGCTGGTTAAATAATTCAAATGCAAAACAAGCTACAAACCATGCTAATTCGCCGGGAGTAGTATGGGGCTGTGGTACATACCAATGCCCGTCGATCCACATCCGTGATGCTGCCTGTTGATACTAAAATTTGGGGAAAAAATGGGAAAGAAAACCATGTCAAACCATGTTGCACAAACCATTTCGATAATGTTAAGTTACAATCTTTCTGTTGATCGACCGATCGTGTTCCACTCTGTCTAAAAAGAGAAACATCGCATAACAGCATTACAAAAATGATTCGATGGATAAAATAAATGAAACGGGATGGAGGAACACGATCGATTCGATTCGTGTGTCGATAAGCGTAATTGTTTCCGATGATTATATTGTACATATGACCTGAGTTCTAAGCTACACGATGTGTCTGAGCGAACAAAAATTTGTAATATCATAAAAGAACCAAAAAAGAAAAAAAAGAAAGATAAAATCATGTTACTGGCGAGAAAGGTGATACTGTCACTTGGGCACACTAGAAATCCGCTGGTTAACGATCAAACGTATTATGCAATCTAACGATCGTACCACCGTCGATTCTTCAATAAACAGGCTTTCATGTTAAATAAAAAAAGAACAGTGACAGTGTACGATATAGCAAGGATGCATTAGTAAAGCATGCTCAGATATTACGAAGCTGTATTATAACCGAAAATAAGTTATCGAGATATCAGAATGAAATTGTCTCTCGTGCTGACGGTACATTTCGTTGTAACATGGTTTTAAAGTAGGAAGACCATGTGTCTGTAACGCCTCTACTCGTGAATAATTAAAAGGAAAATACGTTAAAATAAAATAGTAAACTGAAGCATGTACATGTAATATAGTTCGAGAGTACCGTACGAAACAGAGACAGAGAGATAAAGAGAGAATGAGAACGACAATAGAGAACCGTGTGTGATCGGTTTCTTTTTTTCTTTTTTCTTTCTCTGGGGTTTACTCACTATCTGATTTGCCAGACGAGAAATCAGTGCTGTGCGTCTTGTCTCCCATCCCACTGAACGAATAATCACCCTAGACGACAGAAAAGCGTACATCTTAGAAACGACCTGCACCTTCGGTGGTCGGCTCGGTTCCGAGCCTACGGTATGCACGGTCGAGGGCATCTTGGGCTTCTCCTGGGGAAAATGGCGACGTAGGACGAGAGGAGAACTTAGTGTTTCAAATATTCGAGTTTATAAATTCTTGAATTTCTATAGTACTTAATTTCGAAATTTCCAAGCTTGGTTTTCTAAATCACCAAATTCTCAAGCGTTCAAATTACAATCTTGAATTTCTATAGTACTTAATTTCTAAATTTCCAAGCTTGGTTTTCTAAATCACCGAATTCTCAAGCGTTCAAATTACAAAATTGTGAAGTTCCCGCATCTCCTAATTTTTCACATTCCTAAACTTATATTTCGCAATCTCTCACGTTTACAAATCTCTAAACTCCCAATCTTCCAAAAGTCCGAATTACCAAATGTTCAAATTGCAGAGATAGCGTAGAGATAATCCTTATGATCCTTAGGACCCCTTTTTTCCTGAGTCGCCATAATCCGCAGGGAGGTCCGCCGCGCCCGACACTGTACATAATTGTAAATACAAAAGTGTATCATAAATTTCTACAGCATTTTCTTGATAATCAGCAATAACGGTGCAAAAGATTTTGGTCGTCGTTTTGTGACGCGGTGCAAGACTTACAGGGAGAGCAGATACAGAACCGCCGGTCGAGGAGAAGGTGTGACTTCGCGGTGCCAGACCGTACCCTGGCTTCGGGATGTGCCGAAGGGAGCTCACAACTGGTTTCAAATAGTCAATCGACAAGATATTACTGATTAGTTTCAACGAGAAATCATCGAGATCGTTCATTCCCATACGAATGCCCAACGTTCGCCAAAACTAGTGGGTTCTTCAAATATTTTGTATACCAAAAGGTGGTTTTCAATTTGAAAAAAAAAAGTCGATCTTTTGCTACGGACATCCTACCTTTTTTTAGCGTGAATTATCGTGATGATTCTTTCTAGCTAAGATCGTTTATAAAAAAAAGAAAAAAAGAAAAGAAAAATTTGCTACTGTGCGACGATATACCCTTGTTCGGGTCTACGGGTTTTTTCAAACTGCATCCCCGCGGCAAGAAGAGGGTGGAACGTACCCGATATTCAAGGTGCACAAGCATTATTTCTCGTGAAGTTGTGCAGAGAACGGCGCGTGTAACGAAGACCAACGGTACAAAAAAAATAATAAATAAAATCCGTATTTAGAGGGTGATACCCATGCAATTACCTCTTCAACTATTCGTCTGGAACTTATTGCATTTCGGAGATCGTAGGTGAAGGCTTTTCCAACATTCAAAAATGACCTTGTCTCTTAAACACTTGATTTAGGTACCGACCTTGTGGTAATCGATCCAGTAACATTGTATTCTAACACACTTTTATAAAAGCAGAGTCTTCATTTCGGAAGTGCCTTCATCTGGATCAGACTAGTATAAAATACTCGAAACGCAATAAGTTCGAAGCAAATAATTTGAAAGACAATTGCACGAATAGTTAAACTGAAACACCCTGTACATGTACGAAGAAGCCAGCACCTGTGCGTGTAAGTACAATAAAACGTTTACTCTTGAATAAGCTAGAGAGAACAAAAAGCATGCCTCCCGTGAAGACAAGTCAACAACGAATCATCATTTCGTTGATCATTTTCGTCTGCTCTTGAGAAAGTCTCGTGTTCAAATTTCAGGCCGAAATGAAACTCGTGCGAACCGAAAAGCGAATTACATATGAATTTTGACTTGAGATCAGCGGTAGGTGGAACTGGAAAGTTCTCGGACTCACCGAATGATAGTGCCTAGCGGCGTTTGGAAGAGTGAAGGCGCGTTGAGTACCAACGGGTGGATAGTTTCTGGGAGCCGGGGAACGTGCCGATGACCTCCCAACTGCCGCCCCACGCAAACACAACACAAACACAAAAACACAAAAATAGAGACACGATGATACAAGGTAGCGAATGTGAGGCAGATACCTATCCTTTTACTTTTAACGACTCAACATTGGAAGATACGTGTTTGGAAAAATAAAAAGAATAAATAAAAATCAACCTACTGTTACGATATTTCTCGGATAAGCGTTACAAGATGTACAGTGCTGATCATGCGACGTAAGCTGATGCGGTACGCTTGGATGCAACGTAGGGGAGAGAAGGCTATTTCTTGGGAGAATCTAAGATCTAGGGAAGTATGGGATCCAAGTTTAAAGACCAGTAGGAGTCTAAGGACTTAGAAGCCTAGAAACTACAGAATGTTAGAGATTAGGACCTACAAGAGGGTCCAGAATTATGAGGAGTCCAGGAATAATCAAGTTAAAAGAACCTAAGATAGGAAGTTGAGAATCTAATCTAAGTATTCCTCTTTAACTAAGAGAGGCTACATTGCACCCAAGTGTACGCGAACGTAACGAAATTATCACATCCGCTGCCACCGTCAAAGTATTATCGACAGAAAATGTATCATCCCATATATCAGCTGTCTAACGTGTCGACAGCGGGACGATTAGTCACATCGTATGAGAGGTTGATCAAAGAACACTATTAGGAAACCTTGATCGAACGTTAATAAAAGAGACCAAGTCGATGACACACGGCACGTGGCAGCGAACGTGTTAAATATTCCTCCGGTAATTTACGATTATCTTCCAACATTGTGGTAAAGAGACATTCCAAAAAGTACAGATGAGAGAGAATATATGAATATCGGAGCGATGTGTGTTCGTGTGTGATGAACAAGTTGCCAAGAGTGAAGTCAGAATGAAATACCATGCCAGAGATTCTAACAGCTGTCTAAATGACGAACGACCACGAATGAAATGATAATGGGAATTGAATCGATTAGGCTACTCGAGAGGATGGAACTTTCACGCACGCTGTTATATCCGGTACTCGTATGGCCAGAGATAAAATCGAAAGATAAAGAAGAGGCAAGCACATCGAAGGTATATATATGGCCGATCGCATGCAGAAGCGGAACAATACATCACCTGTTACATACGTTAATGGACGCCCAGTAGCGTGTGCGTTATTTATCGAAGGGGGATGATGCTAAATGCCACTTGTTTTACGTTTTACAAACTCTTGCACTCGAGAGTTCACGTACGGAGCGTCGTTAATCGAGCCTCACCCTTCCCACTGCATTGCGTTCCGTTCCACGATAGCAAATTTTTGTTTAGTTGATAAGAAGAAGAAGAAAAAAAAGAAAACAGGAACGATCATCTTTTCGTTCACCCACCCCGCTTCTATATCGCTTTGGAATCTGACGTCCGATGTTACTTTCGAAACACGGTACAGTGGTATATGTTAGTGTTATGTGCGAACGTGTGGACATGTATGAGATGATTATCACTTATGTTAATGAGACGATCGTGAAATAGCTATCGCTAGATCTCTACAAGATCGTTAAAGCTTACCGTTGTAACTGGGCCCTACGCTCGATCTATAACTGAAACCGTCGTCGTCTTCCCATGGTCTGGCATGATCTATATTCCTAGACGGTGCTGTGTAAAAGTAAATCCGTACGTTACAACCATACGATGCAAGAACGTAGATAACGAAAACGTATAATCGCGACAACGTACATGCACCAACGGGACTCTCGTATCGCAGTCTGTAAGTCGGCTCCCTGGCAGCCGACGGTGTTCTCGAGGCGTTTCTCGGGTCCACGTTGGCCGCCTTGTGTCTCAGATTCTCCCGATCCTTCTCGCGATCTTGCAAGAACACCTTCGCTATACCGGTGTCTATTTTACTCAGCTCGTCCTGCTCTTTCTTCAGCTTCTCCTCCACCTCCTTTATGTACGTTTTGTTGTCGACCTCGTCCTCGTCGTCCGACGCCGGTACACCCTGATACGCAAACGGAACATCATCGAACGTTCGAGATACGCTGAAAGCGAACAACGATAGAACCAGATACCTTGTAAGTGTCGGACCATCGTCTGCGTCTCTCCGGATCGGTATAAGGATACGGCGGAGCCGGGAAATCGTCCCTCTCGATCGGCGGCTTGGCTCCGGGTGGAGGTTTCATGGCGTCCGGATAATGCGCCAACTCTATTGGCTCGTCATTATCTACTTGACTGGCCGGTGACTTTGGTCTGGTCTCGCTCAGAGCGTCGACCAGAGCTCGCATTCCTGATCGGCTACTGCGTCCACCGCTGCTTCTTATCGAACGAGACGCTGAAATAAAATCAACCGTACGATTTACCGTTCCTCTTCAGACCCTAGTACTCCACGTGTTTCTCTATAGGTGTTGTACCTCGGAACGATATGGCTACGTGTTACAAACTGCATCACGAAATGGGGAACTCTGACATTTTTCATTTTGGTCTTTTGGAATTTTTATTGTTTGGGACTTTGCATTTGTGGATCTTTGGACTTTAGGATTATTGGACTTTGAGATGGTTTAGCTTTGCATCCATTAATTTTTGCAAGTTATACTAATTAATCTTGTTCCTCCACTGCTTTACAAATCATCTCAACACACCAGAGGTTTAAAAAGGTGTATTGGAAGAATCAATGAAAATGTACCTATTACCAAATTAATGTGCTTGAGTAAATGTTCCGAATAGTCCGAGGTACAACATTTGTTACGAAAAATAGACGAATACTTACAGCTGGGTCTATGAAAGTGTGGGCTAGTCGGAGGTTTGTCGTACGGCTGTATCGGACGTCTCAAGTATCCCTGGCTGGGTGTTTCGGTGAGATACGAGTACGTGTAAATCCTAGACACATCCTCGGATGGACCGCGTCCATATTCTCGTAATATCAATCCAGGACTGCCGGTTCGTGCAGGGTAATACTGGGGCAATTAACAGGTATATTATCACGGCTAGACTCGTGGTGTTCTATGTAGATGAATCGTAAGCGTCTGTCATACCGCTAACTTTAGCTATTTACTCAGCAAAGGAAGATAAAAACTCAACGCGCTCAACGCCCTGTCAAGAAACTCATTGAATATTCACGAATGAATATTTTAACGATGGCGGCGGAAATATAACAGGCTATCTGTTTTATCGGATTCGCTTTCTGTCTGGATGTTGGAAGATTTATTTTGGAATCGTAGGAAGTCAGGAAGTATCGCTTGATATTAAATTAAACGTGTTGAAGGCTTGAAGATTGTTTTTTTATGACAAAATGTTTAGTGGAGATCTCAAAATGAAGCAATTTTAGTTGCCTTAATATTCGAAACGGTCCAGAAATAACTCGGCGCGGAGAGTTTGCGGGATACGAATCAATGGAAAACCCTCTGATAGTTTGAGAAGGACGCGGCTTGCGCTCGGAATCATCGAGCAGCATAAACCACAACGCCTGGAAACTAGGTTACACCGGTAAGTGATAGTAAACCACTTGCTTTGCCGACGTAACCTAGGCTCCAGAAGTTTGTACGGTGACGAAGTTGAGCTTATAAAAAATCGTGGATGTTTCTTGATAGAGCGTATGTGCTAGGAGATACATGGCATACCTTGCGACTGAGGCTGCTGTAAGGGCTGCAGAGTGATCCGTTCAGGCTTGGCGTGCGTGACCGCAATGAAAACTATACACAATGACCGTGCGAAAAAAAAGTAAACAACGATTAAGAAAGCAATAATAAAAAAAATGTAAGAAATTAAAATAAATATAAAAAATGAAATATGGTAAAATTCGGCGAAGTATCATAAGTATATATACATGTATGTATATATATACGTCGTGTATTCAATATGAAACTTCCTGACATCGAAGCGTGCGGCAAAAGTATACAATGACATGTTAAAGGAACAAATGCATGTTAAGAAGCCACATATCGTCGAACAGAAATGGAAACGAAGCTATACACAAAGCTATGTTTTATTACTGGTTATACAAAAGTAAGATGTGTACATGTACTCGTAAAAGCTCTAAAACGGTCTCTACGCTAAACTTGGTCCGAAACAACCGACACAAAATTAACCGAGCAGCAAAGAAAAACAACGTTTCACAACGAACGCGTCGTACAACAACACAGCCCAGAATAAGCACGATGCAAGCTGAACTTCGTGGTGTATCGGGTCACGATTTCTTTCGAGTCAACTGCAGCCATACATTCGGTTTCCCTTTCTTTTCACAAAACTCAAAAACTGATGCACGCGATTTATCGTCGTTCAATGGCGTACGATGCAACTAAACAAAAAACGCATTCAGCTGATGACGATGATAGGCGTGCACACGTCGGTTTTCGTACGACATTGACTATTTGAAACGTATCGAGTATTTGGGTCGAGTTAATGATCGCGTTAACTGGCGACGTTGACCGGTGAATAAAACATGGCGCGATAAGCACATTCGCGAACACAGAATCGTGAACAGGGTGTTGGGTAACTTGTGAAGGCGACTTTTTACGCGAAAGTGGAAAACTTTTCTGAAGGGGAGTTTCAAGATTTGTTAGGGGCTTGTCTTCTGACAAATCTTCTATCTCCCCTTCTGAACTAGAGTGAAAAAATATCTCTGTTTTCTTGGATGTACAAAGTTCCATCTGTGCTAGACTTGACTTAACAAGTAGCACAGTAAGTTCTTAAACCCTAATACTTCCAAAATACAAAAAATTACTGAGACCCAAAATCAAAAAGTTTCAAGCTACTTTGACGTAAGAAATCCCGTTACCATTAGTTACCCAAAACCTTGCACATTTCCCTCGAAAATCTACCTGATGATTCACCACGAGCAAAATGACAAACGACGGACAATTCTACGACAGTAACAGCGAATATACAGTTGCACGTTATGATACAAAATATTATACAGGATGTACAGTTCGCCAGTTCCGTATAATTCACGTCCAGGATAAACGTAGATTAATCGGCCGATCGCGGGTTTCGTTAACAGTCGAGTCCTATTTGACTGCTTCTCGATATGTTCAAAAGTGTTCGCCACATCGACAAAAGGTCGAAAAGCGAGTCTCTTCGAATATCATCCCGTACTGTACGATCTTACCTGCATCTCCGAGGCGCTGCTGGAAATCCGTTCTGACTCTCGATGCTGAGGAGTGTGAGCTTCACCGTGACCATTTACGATACCGTTTGGTCCACTCGGACCGGGTCCGCAACGAGGATGCCATATGGCTGCACCTTGTAGGTACATTTCCTCCCCGTCTCCGAATGGATCTCCGCATTTGGTGCATCGCGCACAAGTCGGATGGAAATGGTGATTATCACCGGCTTGCAGGACCTTGCCGCTGATGTAGCGGTTGCAGTAGGCACATTTCACCCCGAATTGCTTCTGGTAATCCTTCTCGCAGTAAGGCACCCCGTCTCTGTTGAATAAAATCATTCTCCATCCACATTTGTCCCTTCGGAGATATTCTTCTAATGGAAGGCACATTTATTTTCTCTTATGGGATCTCTGGGTTCTTTAGAGTATCGACAGTAACACTTGGGTGTAGCAAAATAGAGTGTTGCTACAATACATTCTAAAATAAAGTTTCTCTAACCTAAACTTTGCATTAAAGTATCTGATGTCATTTTAATACATATTTTGATTTCTGTAATGAAACCTAAGATACTTACATCCTAAGTGACTACATCCAACCAAACTTTCTTGCCAAATTTGGGTGATGTGAAGATAATTTTAAACTAAACTTTCTCTAATCCAAATCTTGTGCCGCTAGCATCGAAAATGTTCGAACGTTTAATCGGGAACACCGATCACGGTTCGTCGGTAAAACTTTCGCCAATTTTTCTTGGCGTGTAATTCGAGTTAATTTCACGTCCGATGAGCACTTCATACAACATGAGTAATTCACCGTTTTTAATCGTGAAAGTGGATCTTATTTGCAATGCGTCTATTTCCCGATTTCAACTGCTTCTTTGGTATCATTAAAATCCTACCTCATCTAATAGCATCCATAAAATGTTTGGTTATTAAGTCAACTAAGAAGCTATACTTAAAAAATTATTGAAGGAAGCAGCATTTCATATGTGCTCACTTATAGAATAAGTCTACTTGTCTAGGAAGCTATACTTAACAAATTATTGAAGGAAGCAGCATTTCATATGTGCTCACTTATAGAATAAGTCTACTTGTCTAGGAAGCTATACTTAACAAATTATTGAAGGAAGCAGCATTTCATATGTGCTCACTTATAGAATAAGTCTACTTGTCTAGGAAGCTATACTTAACAAATTATTGAAGGAAGCAGCATTTCATATGTGCTCACTTATAGAATAAGTCTACTTGTCTAGGAAGCTATACTTAACAAATTATTGAAGGAAGCAGCATTTCATATGTGCTCACTTATAGAATAAGTCTACTTGTCTAGGAAGCTATACTTAACAAATTATTGAAGGAAGCAGCATTTCATATGTGCTCACTTATAGAATAAGTCTACTTGTCTAGGAAGCTATACTTAACAAATTATTGAAGGAAGCAGCATTTCATATGTGCTCACTTATAGAATAAGTCTACTTGTCTAGGAAGCTATACTTAAAAAATGATTGAGTGTGGATAGGAAGTAGCATTTCATATATGGTCACTTGTACGTATAAGAAAGAATCGCCTCAGAAAGGCAGCGTTATAAAAAGGGTAAGATGAACCAGTCGACAAAGCGAAAGTAGATTTTCTTCACTCACTTTCCCATGTACTCGCCATGGAGCACGGTATCGCAGCTGTGGCACTTGAAGCACCATACGTGCCACTGTCGATCAAGAGCGACCAAAGCTTGACCTTCTCGTAATTGGTTTCCGCAGCCGGCACAAGCACCGGGGTCGGAGGGCCCGTCTCCGGATCCTCTGGTGGCAGAATTATTACCGACCGGCGTCGAGGCCTCTCGAACCGGGATACCGACGCATCGATGACACAGAGCTTGACCTATAGACAATGCTCGGTTAGTCGAGATTGAACAGATCCGGTCGACGATCCTCGCGAGACCGCTGACGCACTCTGTCCAGCTATTGTCTTTTATTCGAGCAACCGGCTGCAGCGTATCTTCGCGGTTGATTCATCGCCGAAAATGATTGAGTGTGGATAGGAAGTAGCATTTCATATATGGTCACTTGTACGTATAAGAAAGAATCGCCTCAGAAAGGCAGCGTTATAAAAAGGGTAAGATGAACCAGTCGACAAAGCGAAAGTAGATTTTCTTCACTCACTTTCCCATGTACTCGCCATGGAGCACGGTATCGCAGCTGTGGCACTTGAAGCACCATACGTGCCACTGTCGATCAAGAGCGACCAAAGCTTGACCTTCTCGTAATTGGTTTCCGCAGCCGGCACAAGCACCGGGGTCGGAGGGCCCGTCTCCGGATCCTCTGGTGGCAGAATTATTACCGACCGGCGTCGAGGCCTCTCGAACCGGGATACCGACGCATCGATGACACAGAGCTTGACCTATAGACAATGCTCGGTTAGTCGAGATTGAACAGATCCGGTCGACGATCCTCGCGAGACCGCTGACGCACTCTGTCCAGCTATTGTCTTTTATTCGAGCAACCGGCTGCAGCGTATCTTCGCGGTTGATTCATCGCCGACCAGTTTCACGCTTGTTTACCCGTTCGATTTGCGTCTCGACGTGTATAAATAGCAGAGCAATTCGCAGTGCCACACTTTTATATTCAATCATTGTAGTTGACAAACACTTGTTACATTTCTTTTGCAGAATTCGGTACCTGACTCCATTGTCTGTTTTTCTATTTCATCGAAGTGTCCTTGAAGTTAGACTCTGAGATACAGGAATTATTTAAGGGTTTTGCTTTGACAAAAGCTCTGTATACCTGACAGCAAATCGTTTTACTTTGGAAGAAAAGGGTACAACGCGGAAATAATTCTGTGAGAGTTTAACCCAAGCTTCTTGCTTTGAAAAGAAACAAGCGTTCTAATACCTGAGAGTCTAACCCAAGCACATTTTTTGTTATTTTAAAAAAGAGGTAGAAAGAGCAGGTTTAATCTGCCTCTCAGTTGGGGATTTATATTTAATCGAAGCTTACGTTATCTATAACGTAATAGATTGCCATTTTGTGTGTTATCTGTACACACTTGCCAGCGGTAATTTGTCTATGACGCTCTTGGGGAAATCTGAAGTACTTTGGAGCAATGGCTCTTAGGTCTAATGAATATGGCGATAAGTTTAAACTTTAGCTCTTTGATAGAGTCATTTATATTGGATCTTGCTGGAGGATAGAACGAATTTTTTAAATCAGAAATTTAATCAATTTCTCACTATGACTTCAATAGTAAGTTATAAACAGTCTTAAAATTACAAGCAAAGTATTAATAAACCATAAAAATTTTCCATCGTTCTACAATAGAAGATATCTTATCGAAGTTGTAGTAAAGAAATGTAACAAGTAAAGTCTTCCAACTTAACATTTGGTAAAAGAATGACAAAGTTACTTAAGCTAACAGATAACTCGAGTTATTTCGTTTCCACGCAAAGTGTACAGAGTTCAAAGGTTAAAAGACGCGAAGTATATCCGTAACCGCTTCTCTAAAAATAAGTTCTATCGGAGAAGATCGAATCAATCAATATTTGCACGGGGAACAATGACGACCCGAGGCGAGAAAAATTTAAGCGCGATAAGCTCGCATATTTTAAAGCGTAATCGTTACAAGGCCACACGCGCGTAACCTCGTTCGGCCCGGCGATGATACACCTAAGTGGTAATTTGCCTTAACGGGTTCACCGGTGCCCCGCGACGCAGTCAAACGGAATTATCCGTTTTTCTACGTACAAAACACCGTTTACATATTTTATTAATCCTCTTCAATCTTTGATCCTCTTTACCTTGGACGAGGGACACTTTTGTCCCTTGGCCCAGCAGGGGCTGCCTGCATCTCTGACAATGGAAACAGTTCGGATGGAACGCGTGTTTGTCGCCGGCGGTGACCACATCGCCCTCCACGTATTCGCCGCAGCCTGCACACTTTGTGCCCCAACGTTCTCTGTAATCCTGAAAAATTGAGAACAGCAATTTGTCTCGGATAAACCGCTCATCTCGGTTATCGTATTATTTATTTAGAGATGCACGAAGTATCGGTCTCGAAATGCTGAACCATTTGAAGAATTAAATTATAATTGATGAAGTGTGGAAAGCTCACTACGCGTGGTGGTTCCACGCGTGGAATTTCAACGTGTTAGGTCACCACGCGTGGTAGTTCCACGCGTTAGATCCCCATGCGTGGAATTCCAACGCGTTAGGTCACCACGCGTGGGTAGTTCTACGCGTTAGATCTCCATGCGTGGAATTTCAACGCGTTAGATCCCCACGCGTGGAATTTCAATGCGTTAGATTACCACGCGTGGAATTCCAACGCGTTAGGTCACCACGCGTGGGTAATTCTACGCGTTAGATCCCCATGCGTGGAATTCCAACGCGTTAGGTCACCACGCGTGGGTAATTCTACGCGTTAGATCCCCATGCGTGGAATTCCAACGCGTTAGGTCACCACGCGTGGGTAATTCTACGCGTTAGATCCCCATGCGTGGAATTCCAACGCGTTAGGTCACCACGCGTGGGTAATTCTACGCGTTAGATCCCCATGCGTGGAATTTCAACGCGTTAGGTCACCACGCGTGGATAGTTCTACGCGTTAGATCTCCATGCGTGGAATTTCAACGCGTTAGATCACCACGCGCGGTACCTCCACGCGTTAAACCGCCACGCGTGATAGTAAACCAAACCTCCGATTTAGAGGAAGAAATAAAACGCGTACACTTAAGGCGGTGCGTCATACGCTCCAAATGACCGACCCTCTCGTGTTGTAGAGGCTTTTTTCTCGCTGCACCTTCTTATTTTTTATTTATTCGTATTCTAGTACCTTGGTGCAGTAGTAAGAGCCCTCGCGTGCGAAAAAACCACCCTGCGCTAAGCTGGCATTGCACTGAGCACACTTGAAACACCCTATGTGGAAATACTTGTCCTGTACTCGTAGCACCTCCCCGCTGCACTTCTTCTTGCAAGACTGGCAGAATGTTTTACCTGCAACAGAAAATCGCCATTATGCATCCGGCTGGTGAACGAAATGTTTTACGGCGATAAACGAACGACCTACTTCGGGTTTTCGATACCCGTCCGATACGAGAAGAAAAACAAAGTCTCGACGATCTCTTTGTTCCCCGTTTCTCACGCCGTATTGGACACGTGATTAACGCGAGGAATTTCAACGCGTTAGATCACCACGCGCGGTACCTCCACGCGTTAAACCGCCACGCGTGATAGTAAACCAAACCTCCGATTTAGAGGAAGAAATAAAACGCGTACACTTAAGGCGGTGCGTCATACGCTCCAAATGACCGACCCTCTCGTGTTGTAGAGGCTTTTTTCTCGCTGCACCTTCTTATTTTTTATTTATTCGTATTCTAGTACCTTGGTGCAGTAGTAAGAGCCCTCGCGTGCGAAAAAACCACCCTGCGCTAAGCTGGCATTGCACTGAGCACACTTGAAACACCCTATGTGGAAATACTTGTCCTGTACTCGTAGCACCTCCCCGCTGCACTTCTTCTTGCAAGACTGGCAGAATGTTTTACCTGCAACAGAAAATCGCCATTATGCATCCGGCTGGTGAACGAAATGTTTTACGGCGATAAACGAACGACCTACTTCGGGTTTTCGATACCCGTCCGATACGAGAAGAAAAACAAAGTCTCGACGATCTCTTTGTTCCCCGTTTCTCACGCCGTATTGGACACGTGATTAACGCGACGATTAATCGGCCGACACGATTAACGAACTATTTTCTACCGTGCGGTCTCGTAACGCATATTTTTATCGCGATCCGTGAAAAGGGTACGGACGTTTATTGAGGTTAACGCCGTAACGCCAACCTAATTTATCAATCTTAATTCCAGCAAATTGTGTACGAGTTTTCTCCCACTGTTTCTTGATACTGCCACGTCATATTTGGATGATTCACGAATTTCCACGGGGGAGTTGTAATTTTAAGTGACATTGCCAAGCACTAATTTCAGAAAGTTGCGTGGATGCGACAATTCTGTCTCCGGTGATTTAAAGTTTCATTTCATGTACAGGATAATGTATCTACTGGATTATGAACAAGTAACGTAACATAGTTATCCACGAATAGTATCACTGCAGTGATCGATTTCTTTTACAAAGAGAAAGGAACAGATGCTCAGGGTAACAGTTTTGTATGAATCACAGCTCTCTCTTTTTCAATCTTGCGCTTAGAAACTTCCCATATCCGAAGGATTCTTCTACAAGTTAATTAATAGCAAATGGAGTGGAACGAGTAGCGTGTTTTATGCTCCGAGCACTGTTTGCAGAAAGCGGTCGAAATAAATTCTTGCTGCATTGATACTCCAGAAGAAATGCGATCTTCGCGAGATCTGTGCTAATTGGAACGAGCATTTCCATCTAACAAGAAATGTGGATCAAAGAAACCCTCCAGACAGACTTCCTCGATGATTATGTTTCGTATCGAGATCAAACGGAATTCGATGGGAAAATTTAACACCGAACGACGCAAAAGGAAACGGAAATTGGAAACGCTCAGAGTTTGTACAGGAACGTGACTCGAAACGCTGAAGGCAGTTTGTCTTATTTTGGGATGGAGATATGTAAATTTACGATGGATTACCACGCGTGGTAGTTCGGTGCGTTAGATCGCCACGCGTGGAATTTCAACGCGTTAGGTCACCACGCGTGGTATTTCCACGCGTTAGATCGCCACGCGTGGAATTTCAACGCATTCGATCGCCAAGCGTGGAATTTCAACGCGTTAGATCGCCACACGTGGAATTTCAACGCGTTAGGTCACCACACGTGGTACTTCCACGCGTTAAATCACCACGCGTGGAATTTCAACGCGTTAAGTCACCACGCGTGGTAATTCCACGCGTTAGATCCCCACGCGTGGAATTTCAACGCGTTAGGTCACCACGCGTGGTAGTTCCACGCGTTAGATCCCCATGCGTGGAATTTCAACGCGTTAGGTCACCACGCGTGGTAGTTCCACGCGTTAGATCCCCATGCGTGGAATTTCAACGCGTTAGGTCACCACGCGTGGTAGTTCCACGCGTTAGATCCCCATGCGTGGAATTTCAACGCGTTAGGTCACCACGCGTGGTAGTTCCACGCGTTAGATCCCCATGCGTGGAATTTCAACGCGTTAGGTCACCACGCGTGGTAGTTCCACGCGTTAGATCCCCATGCGTGGAATTTCAACGCGTTAGGTCACCACGCGTGGTAGTTCCACGCGTTAGATCCCCATGCGTGGAATTTCAACGCGTTAGGTCACCACGCGTGGTACTTCCACGCGTTAGATCTTCACGCGTGGTAGTTCCACGCGTTAAATTCCCACGCGTGGTATTTCAACGCGTTAGATCGCCACGCGTGGAATTTCAACGCGTTAGATCACCACGCGTGGTACTTCCACGCATTAAATCGCCACGCGTGTAATTTCAACGCGTTAGGTCACCATGCGTGAGTAGTTGTACGCGTTAGATCCCCACGCGTGGAATTTCAACGCGTTAGATCACCACGCGTGGTACTTCCACGCGTTAGATCCTCACGCGTGGTAGTTCCACGCGTTAAATTCCCACACGTGGTATTTCAACGCGTTAGATCGCCACGCGTAGAATTTCCCTATATTGTATCTCTACGCGTTGTATCGTCACACGTCGTACTTCCACGCATTATACTGTCACGCTCTATACTTCCCCGCATTCTACCATCAACGCATACAACATCAAAATACCCGTTAAATATTAATCACTAAGAATCCTAAAATGCTGTCTAAACTTACTATCCTTAACTTCCATCCTGCAAACTCCTTGTCTTAAATCACCATTCAATCACTCAAACTTGTCGATACCTAATCAATCTATATGCACCATAGGTCGAAGGCGTGTCTCCTCTGTTCGAAAGATATCGATTCGACCTTTCCGCTCGGTTCCCGATTTCATTGAAGTCGTGACATTCGATTACTGCAGAAAGAGGTCCGTAAATAATTTCTCCGTCGATCGTAATCTAGGAAGTACCTACAATCGGAACGTTTCGTGCACCCAGACGGTCCGAATTGTCTGTTATCGATTTTCAATAGGCAATTAACGTGGACGAGCGAATATAGAACCGTGCCGAGTTCCTTTTTTAATTCACGTGACATCGCACGATACACGGATGACGTTGAACATACGAACAGCGCGAGCTGCTCTGATGTCATCGAGTATTTTTAAAACGACATGAACCGTTCTCTAATGCCACGAAATTCGACGGATAAAAGCGGTTACCTTTCTGTCGAATGTAATACAGATAAGTTGTAATAGGTTAATTTAATTGGTCGATTTCGATTGTGTATGAAGCAGCTTTTATCGACTGATTGGCGGTTTGATAAATCTTGATGTAACCGGACGATATCGCTCGTACTTTATCCAGTTCGCTAATTCACCGTGAAATACGGAGTTTTAAAGGAGATAAATTAGAGCTAGGAAACTTGTTTTACAAAGTAGTTCGCGAAAAAGCTCATAGTTTGACAAATCGACCTCTGATGAATTCGCCTTATAATTACATTGCTCGTAATTGCTCGTAATTAATTAAACAAAATGTGATTTGTTGGATGCTTAAAAGCAGCTCACTGCCCGCGAGCTCTTCAGCGAGCACTTAATTTGCCCACAACTGCTTTTAAGCATCCAACAAATCACATTTTAAGGGTCAACGATCTGAACGAGCGACGAAAGGATTAAAAGATCTTCTGCTCGTTTTTGTTCTGAAAACGATCCTTTGTTGTCACGTCGCCGGTTCTACGACAATTTTAGCACGTTCGGAGCGTTGTACAAGTGGCGCCAGTGAGTCAAACACAACAACTTTAGACTCTAATTCAATGATTCAGAAGGGCACGACGACGATAAACCGTTCCATTAACTTATCAGTTGTTTTCGACGTAAAGATACTTTCTCTCGTGCCCATAAATTACGTAGCCTATCAATTAAATGGAAAAAGAGAAACGCTTTCAGAAAACTCTGCAAAATCTTATCTCGACACGCAGCTCATTCATTTTCCATTACGCGAATCTGGTGTCGTGGGCGTGTATAAAATTAACGTATTCGATCAGAGGTAATTAAATCGCTCTCGAGAAAGAAACGCGGTCCAACTCGCAATACGATTCTGACATTCGAGTCGATGCGTTCATCGAGACGAAAATACGGGATGATTCACAGGTAAGATCGCGAGAATTGAATCGTACGCCCAAAGGTGAGAACAAGATCTAATATTCGAACGTGATAAAGTTCACCTTGCGTCTCTCGAAATAATGCAACACGGTAGATGTTTCCTGAAATTCTTGGAAACAGTTTGTTTAAATTTTGCATTTGGAATCTTGCAATTTATTGGGATGTCTAGGAGATATTTTAGTTTTGAGGTTCTTGGGAGTCTGAGGAGTTGGGGATTTAGGGAGCTGGGATTTACGGAGTCGGGAAAATAGGGAGATGGGAATTTAAGGAATTGGGATTTGAGGAGTGGGGAATTTAGGGAGTTGGGGTTTAAGGAGCTGGGATTTAGGGATTTGGGAATTTAGGGAGTTGGGATTTAGGAAGGTGGGATTTAGAAAGGTGGGAATTAAAGAAGGTGGGATTTAGGAAGATGGGAATTTAGAGAGGTGGAATTTAGAGAGTTGGGATTTAGGAAGATGGGAATTTAGGAAGGTGGAATTTAGGAAGATGGGAATTAAAGAAGGTGGGGTTTAGGAAGGTGGGAATTTAGAGAGTTGGGATTTAGGAAGGTGGGAATTTAGGAAGATGGAATTTAGGAAGATGGGAATTTAGAGAGGTGGAATTTAGGAAGATGGGAATTTAGGAAGGTGGGAATTTAGAGAGGTGGGATTTAGGAAAGTGGGATTTAGAAAGGTGGGAATTTAGAGAGTTGGGATTTAGGAAGGTGGGAATTTAGAGAATTAGAATTTACGGACTTGGGAATTTAGGGAGCTGGGGTTTAGCAAATGAGACCTTGAAATCCTAAGAATCCAGTAACCCCAAAAAATGAGCCAATCAACTTATCTAACGGTGCAAATCCGAAGCTGACAGCGAAGGTTCACACAATGAGTACCTTCACGATCAATGGCAGCCGTGAAAAATCGGCTCGTTTTCCAAAGGCGTGAAAGGAATGTTCATCTCACCTCGAAGAAGTCGGGAATAACGGGTGAAAAAGTTGTAACATGAGTCAGCGGGACTGCTAGAACGTGTCGTGTAAAGATCGTTCTGTTATTTCCTTTAACGTTTCGTCGAACTGTAGAAAGAAAGGCACGTAATCGTATATCATGGAGAACCGGATACGCAATGTAAAAAAAAAATGGAAAAGACGACATAAAAAGAGTGAATGATTGCATAACCAAGGACATTAGTACGTCGAAAGCCTGTTATTTCAGTGATTGTCTGGCAAAATAATACGCGTGGAGTATCATTACGAGTATTCAGTTTATGGCCGATGGAAAAACATTGTATCACGTCAGAGATTTTCATTTAGCTCGTTAAATGACACGATTATGTACTACGTCGACGAATTCTATCTTTGGCTC